ACCTACGAGCCGCTGAACCGAGCTGTTTACGTCGGAGACCCGGTCCGTCGCCGATTGGACCTGCGAGCCGCGGAAACCAAGGAAGCTAAACTACAGCTGTGGGATTTGGGAGCTGTTGCAACCGGGACCTGGTCTGTCACCGTTGGGGCTGCGAACTTCTGGACCGAGTGAATCGTGGGACCTGGAGGTTGTTGTCGCTAGTCCTCGGCTAGATTTGGCTAGGCCTCGGCTAACAACAAGCTAACAACATAAGCTAACAACAATAGCCTGAGAACCTCGTGGCTGGATCCTGTGCTTCTGAGAGTTGAGACCAATAATCCAGAAGTATCGTGAGTAATGCCGAGCAAACACAGATAGGAGATAGGAGACAAGTGTCGGAAAGTAATTCAGAAGATATGGAGGAAGTTAAAAAATCTTTGAACTTTTTGAGTGCTGAAGTGACTAAATTGAGTGCAAATATGACTAAATTATCAGCTAAATGTGATTTACTAACAGGACTGTCTGAAGAAGTGAGACAATTGAAAGAACTGATGACTAATAAAGACAAAAAAATAGCTGAACTGGAACAGAAAGTTGACGACATGGAACAATACACAAAAATAGACAATTTGGTGATCACTGGACTGGAAGTTAAGAACCGGACATATGCAAGAGTTGTTGCTGGTACTAACACTACAGAAGACGCACCACAGGAAGAACTACAGACTCTGGAGGAGCAAGTAGTGAATTTTTTACAAAGCAAACACATTGACATTGAACATGAGGACATTTCAATCTGTCACACCCTGCCCAACAAATCAGACAAAGTCAAACCATCCATAGTCATCAAGTTCATTAGCAGGAAATCTAGAAACCATGTAATAATGCAAGCAAAAAAACTGAAGGGAACAAATGTTTACATAAATGAACATCTAACTAAAAAAAATGGAAACATTGCACGTGAAGCAAGGTGGTTGAAAAAACAGAAAAAAATAGCATCAACTTGGACAAGAAATGGAAACATCTGGATCAAACTACAGGAAGGATCTCAGGCTAAGATAATAAAAGACCTGAAAGATCTGGAAAGACTAAAATAAGCTCAGGAAATGATAGATGATAAATCATTGACACAACTTCACAAGCAATGAATAATCAAAATATAAAACAAACAAATACATTAAACATGGCAACATACGAAGACTCAGAGTTTAAAATATACAATGTTGAAGATGCGATTGATACAAATTTTTTCCCTGAAATAAAAGACTGTGAATATTATAATGAAGAACAGTTTAATGACATCAATATAACTAATGGAGGTCTCTCTATTATTCACTTTAACAGTAGAAGTTTAAATG